ATCAGAACGTAAAGAGTTGAAGGTGACACCTGACAGCATGAAGTGTCAGAGAAACAGTGAGGGTGATTTATTACCTAATTTATTTTACATCAACTCGACTCATGACTGAAAAAAAACCTCTCTCTGAGTTAGTCATTACATAACTCTTCATGCAACGTTAAATAAGACAAATAAATGTGAGCTATTGTGGTGAGTTTGTATCGCTGAAGTAAATCTGAACAAAGGCTTTCACTGGAGTAATATAAAAATAAATCATTCAGTTGTTATGCATCAACAAATGCTGTCAATGGAAGTTTGTATGGAAGCAACAGTAACAAATGGACACGATAGAAGGTCAATGATCGGAGTAAACATTGTAATTCGTAGCAGCAGTGGCTGCTGAAGGACAGACAGAGACACGCTGATGGACAGCTGGACAGCTGGACAGCTGGGTCAGACATGTGCAGGGCTGTGAACCAGAGTGCAGCGACAGCGTATCGCTGTATTTACTCAGGTGGAATAATATGGAGGCTGAGCTTCCAGTGTGTGGTGATAAAACAAAGAGGATTGTACGGAATGTGCTCCACATGTTTGACTGGGAACTGAAGCTTTAGCTGAAGACCAGATCCAGTTTCAGGGTTTCAGCCTAAATGGATTCCTTCTTCAGCTAGTCCAACTACTGGCTATACCTATTTGAGCTTATTGATCAGTATAGTTAAAAAAAAAACACCTTTCAGTGCACCTGAGCTAATCGTACATATGATTTTGGTTTTGTCAATAAATCCCTCCATTATCCAGTTCCTAAAGAGAAGATTTTTGGCCAACGATAAACTACATTTTAAGACTGAAAGAAGCAAAGAGTGTAGCCAAAACTACAAAATTCCCATCAAAAATAGTTAAATGTCATCCAACAACTAATTTAAAATAAGGCAAAAATAAACGTGCTGAGATAAGATGGCAAATTGTTAGTTAAGGACTCGCATTAAATTACCCAAACCTTCAAGTGATGAATATATTGTTAGCAAGAAAGATTATAGAATATAAAAATTATATTATAAAAATTATAAAAATATAAACTGTAGGTATATAACACCAAATACAAGAAAAAGGGGGGATATAATTATGCACAAGTCTGAACAAAAACCTCTTAGCGTATCCAATTAGCTGCTAAAGGTAAAATACCTTTAATACCTGGTAAAGGAAGTTAGCAGAGACACCAGAGTGGCTACCTAACTCTCAAATATCAGAGAAGTCCTTTCTATGGACAAAGGCCTCGTTTTCTTTTCTCTTTTGATCAATGGTCAAACATTTTTCTTGACTCTGTGACACTTTTCAAGTCCAGGTCACCTGATCCATCACACACACACACACACACACACACACATGCTGTAACAGTATATCTGTGGGAGAATATCTGTTTAATTTCAGAGCAGTATTTGATCTGTGAGCTGCATCACTGAGCTCCTCATTAACTGAGACCACAGCAGCTCACACACACACACACATACAGTATATATTCTGTAGACAGCACTGCTGTTAATGCCGCCACCACCAGGTGATCTTCAGAGAAATCCACTGCTGTTACTCACACTACAGTATATAACATGTATAACTATGACTGTAGCATCGTCCAATAACTCCGTTCCACAGGACAAAGTGTTTTAGTCATAATGTCACTGAGAGTTAGCTCATTTTAGGAAATTTACATCTTTAGGTTCTGTTCTGACAAACCCTTAGTCTTTAGGTCGAACCTTTAGTTTTCACAGATCAATTATGTCTTTTTATCAACATGTACCTTTTTTTGGTGGGGGAGGGGTGTTTGTTTTAACATTTCGCTGTCGTTCCTTTAATCTTAAGCAACAACCTTTCAAACTTTTTCAGGCTTTTTTGTTTTTTCAAGCAACATTTGGCTTTTCCCTCAGTTAGTTAGTTCTTGTTATTGTTATGTCGTTTTCAGAAATGTATTCAATTCAATATATTTTCTACAGACATGCGGTTGGTGGTTTAGTTGCATGTATGTCTATAGCCCAACAGATATACAGTCTTCTTTTTGAGTTATTCTTGTCTTTCTTTGAGTTCCAACTGGTGGAAACAACTTTGTGTAGTTTTTATTCTTCACTGATTCAACAAAAAGACTCAGAACAAATACTCTATGCACCAGGTGCAGCTGTTTTTACTTGCAGATATTTTTTGACCAGACAGATGACCATTTCTGTCACTGTTTTTTGTCAACAGACAAACAAAGAAAATTATATGTAAAAAAATTGAATTGAACCAATTGAACCAAGCTGTTTCATTTTTGAACAATTACATCTTGATATTTTTCCTGTGTCCTGAAAAACATAAATTAAAGGCATTATCCCATCAAAACAGTTAATTTGAGCCAATAGCACCATCCTATTGTTTAAGTAGCCAAAAACCCACAAAACTTTGTCCAAAATTTAGATAGAACACACTTTTAATTAGGACGTTAGCCATGCTTATAGCAACATGGCATAATGGCAACATCTGCTGTCCTCACCAGCCAGACTGATTCATACAGACACCAAATTTGGTAAACAGATATAGGTCTGTATTGGATACACATACAATTATAGTCCTCATCATTGTTGCTTCACTTCCTCACTGCTGTTACGAAAGTCACCACCAGACAAAGGCCACACCTGAACCAGCGCTGTGGCCTTTATTTGCCCAGGGTTAGATGTTAAAGCAGGTTTTTATTAAATCCAGGTCACACCTGTGCAGGAGGCCTGAAGGTGTGTGTGAGTGTGTGTGAGTGTGCTGCTTTGTTTGTTTTCAGGATTTGTTAAGGTTTGTTGTTAAGTGCCAGTTCAAATGTCGTAATAGAGCAAACTCAGGTTTAACCTCTGGCCTTTTACAAAGACACACACACACACACAAAGGAGCAGCTGGTTGTCTTCTGCCTGTACAGAAGTTCCAGTCAGTCATTTTGTGGTAATAGTGTTTAAGGTTTTTGTTAAGATTTACCTTTGGAGACACCAAATGTCCCCACAGAGTATCGACTAGTCTGTGAGTCCATCTGAGCTAAAATCACAGATTTCCTCTATAAATGTTGGTGCAGGGATGTCCTTCTTTTGGCTGAGCTAGCTAAAATGAAACTGGAGCAGGGAAATATAAGACGGCATTCAACCAGAAATGTGTTTCTACTTGAGGGCAGTTATATTGATGGAGTTGCTGTGGTGCACCTTCAAATGTTCTGTTGGAGCTGCTCTAAGCAACAGAACTGGGTATAAACAACTAAAAGGCGCTTGTCAGACATGGATTCATGCTTTGCATTAGAGTGGAGGAGCTGGATCCACTTATTCGGACTGATCTGGGAGTCATGTGACACAGCAGCAATTTTTTCAACTCACTGAGTCGTTGTTTAACAGTGCGAAAATGATGCTGGGTGGTCGACTTATTAAAGCTCAGCAGAAACTGGACACGGCAACTGTGGCTCCAGGTTTTTAGCTTTCACGTCAGAAGATGATGCTGAAGAAGAAAGTCCAAAGACTAGGTTCAAAGAAAGTTTTAGACGTGTTTATCACCTGACGACTGTGTTTAAGTGTGTGCATTTATATAACACAAACATCAGTGGAGGCGCCACATCCAACTCGTTAGGTCTGACAGTAATACACTGTTTTGTGACACACACAAAAGTCATATATTCTTTCAAATAACAAGACAAAATATGATGGGATATTCGATACTATAGCTAAAGCAGCTGAGTTTAAAACAAAAATATTTCAAAATCATCATGAATTAAGTCAAAACATGATATATATTTAGCAAAAGTTCTACCTGATATAACGGAAAAAAAGCAAAATACGTTAAAGGCCAAATTAAGTGACAGGCTAGTGACTAAAAACTCTGTCTAGCATTCTAAAGTAAGTGTTGTTACTACATTAACAGTTAAACAACTAAAACAAAATAAAACTAGCTAGGTAAATAATCAAAAATGTAAAAAAAGTAAAAAAAAACAACCAGTAGCCCAGAGTGTAGCTAGAGTAGCTAAATGTCAAACACATATGAAGTACAAGTGCTGTAGCTAAATTATATCCAAACCAAATCTAGCAAAAATACCGAAGAGAGACAAAAAGGAAAATCAGTATACAAATATAATAATAACAATACACCAGCAAACTTCCTTTATTCCTCTACATGTCGATCAAAAAATTGTTGAAAAAAAACTGCACAAAACTGCCATGGAAATGATTGCAAATGTCACTGACAACATTATTTACAGGAAGTACAAAAAAAAAAAAAAAATTCAAAGAAAGTCAGTGGATTTGATGTGAAAAGTTCTGCGACAACTGTTGTACAGTATGACACAGTCCACACATGTTTAGTTATAAACATCTGTGAAATGTAAACACACAGACCGGGTCACGCCTCGTCAATCTGGATTAACTTTAGCTCCTTCTTACAGCCTTTCAAAGAGAGTAGGGATTAAGTGAATGAATGTGGTTTCAATTTTAAAGAGCGAGCGTGGCTGGAGGGAAAACTTCTCTGCAGGTTCAGAAAAAATTCAGGAACAACAGAAGGTGAAAAAAAATTATCCTGTCAGCAGGACTAACATGATGAATGTCATGGTTACATAGCCACAATTTTATCTCCCTGTTAGTAAAGAAGTTCTTAAACCACTTACAATCCCACACCAGAGAGTCCATAGAGGAAATCCAGGATTTTAGCACACTGGGAAACAGGAGCTGCTGCTCCACTGCTGCCTCCTGTGGTCAGTTAGTCAATCTGAACAAATGCACTGCAGCCAACTATGTCCTTGTGTTTCATAAAATATCAGATTTCTACATGGACTTGAGTATGGGAGAGCCTAGAAACCAGTACTAGGAACTGTGGACAGTAACAGGAACTATGTGTTTTTCCAACAACAACAAAAACTGATCATTTTTAGAGGTAAGAAGTTGAGGAGGTTCAAACACATTATGGATTGTGCTTGCCAAAAAACCCCAATTGTCAGGAATATTTACGGTGGAATAACGTTATATTGAGAATGTACTCACAGTCATTTTGCCACGGCGGTTGGCTTCCTCTCTCTCTGCCAGGGCCTTTAGGAAATCATCTTTAAGGTCTTTTCCTGCACTCACCAATGTCCTGGAATAGAGTGAGAAATATGTCAGAAATATGTCAAAAAGTGTTACATAAACAGTGAGGTAAAAAAACATCCATATGTCCAAATAAGCATTTACAGTCCATCTGTGCCATTGCTGCTGGTCTACTGCTCCATCTTTTGGCAAATCCAAATCAAAAAGAGAACTAAAAAGCAACATATTTGTACTTGTCTTGTTCCCCTGCAGGCTAAAATCATTAATCATCTCCATAGAGCTGCTGAACAAGATCAGATCAGAAGACAACAGTTGGAACTAGTTCAAAACTCAACAGAAACCAACAGAACTGTTTGTTTCGCAGAATTTTTTCCTCTTTAAATTAAAATCTCCACAGGAATGATTCTTACAAATGTAATCGTAGCAGATGTCTTAATTCTAACAAACACTTGCGTTTCTGCAGCTGAACAAACACTGGCACAAACACAGATACACACAGACACACACGTCTAGACCAAGAGCAAGACAATGAGTTTGTGAATGAGATGAGTGACGATTTAAAAAGAAGTAATTAAACGAAATACACAAGACAGTTGAGAAATGGAGAAGGATGTTAGGAAGGTGGGAAGGATTTTAAAAATAAAGAAATCTTTAAGAGAAAATTGCGGAGGTTGACTTCTGTGAGAATGAGACACTATTGCCTTAGAGAAATGGAGGAAGTCATTTAAATTGAGCCATAAAAAACATTAAATTGAAAAGAAATATATTAGCTAATAAATTAGCTCAAAACTAGCCAAATGTATGACAAACATTTCCAGGAGATGAAGGGCTTGGACCTGCTTTGTGTTTGTAAACATTAGAGGAGGATATTTCTACATACTCTACTTTATAAGTGAGGGTCCTAAACTGTGGCGTGTGAGCACCTGCACGTCCACATGTTATAAATCTGCTGCTAAAACATCTGATAATTCACCCTCCCGCAGCCAAACAGGAGACAGATACAGGAAATGGACCGAATCCTGGAGCAGATTCTGGTGGTGGAGCAGTGAAAGTGACACCACAGGTTTTTGTCTCAGTCTTGAAGGTCTGAATGGAATTGTTGTTGGTGAAGAAGTAAAAAGTGCAGGAATGGCACATATTTGGAGCGTGGAACTCAGTGCTGCTGCTGTGCCTCCTGAGTGAATCAGTGAGTGAGTGAAGGATCGCTGCTAGGTCACAGGGGCCGAGGGCCGAGGGCCCCGGGCCCCAAAGTAAACACAGCTGCTACTGCTGAGGACAGCAAGGGAACAGGTTTACCCTGGTGCATCAGGAGCTGAAGAAACACACGCAGAGTAACACACACTAATCTCCAGCCTCATTTAACGAATAACCACCATCACAATCATCATTCCTTCAATATAAACGTCAGCTAATGATGCTGACTCTGCTCTAACGTTCTCTTTTTCTTGGACTGTGGTCAGAGCAGGTTGTTTTTTTTTAAAGATGTGAACTCTCCTCATCTACTGTACAGTTGGACAGGAAAATAATATATAATTTGTCCTCATGTAAAATAACTTGACCATTAATCATAATCCATACTTTAAAAGGCAGGAAAACAAATTATTTTTAAAAACATTCTGATTAATCACAGGGTAGCTGTGGATTAATCAGTGTTAATTGTGATTAATCAAGATCATAATTAAGCGTGATTCCATGATTAAGCAGGATTTCTAAATATGATTTAACTTTTTTGTCTGTGGATTGATGGAACAGGAAGACCAATAACAGCTGGATAGACGGGTGTGTTTCAAACCAGTTATTTAGTTTGACTAATATAACTAATGCAATTATTGATAGGGAA